TTTATGGAAAAGCAATGAAAACACCAGATAAGTATCTGTGGTGTTGATTAACGAAAATGTAAAAGGAGCTTCCAACTTCTACGCCAACATGAATCAGTGCCCTGCTCCAACATCTCCTCGCTTTTGTTTTAATTTAAATGTAAATTCAAGTGAATTTTATATTTTAGATCTCCTCTATTCTTATTGACAAATAAGATAAGAGGAACATATCAGCAGAGATTAGGTCTTCCCATGAGCCAATTAGCAGCATGAAACTGCATAATTATTATAGGATAAAGATTGATCAGGTAAACCTAAAAAGCCCTAATGAAAACATATTCAGATAAAGACTAGAAGATCAGGGGGATGTGAAAACAGACAGACACGGTGTGATAAAAAAATATGGTGAATGTTTAAATTAAAAAAAATTCTTACAATAAAAGACATATTGCCATTAATCCCTCTCAAAATACTTTCCCTCACTTCAAACACACTTATCCAATCTTTCTTGCCACTTTTTGAAGCAGTTCCGGAAGTCCTCTTTCATGAATGTCTTTACTTTATCCTCCATCATGACAACGCTCCATGTCACACATCTCTTCTGGTATATGGCAATTTCTGTCAAATAAAAACATTACGCTGTGTCCTCATCCACCTTATTCACTGGATCTGGCACCGTGCCACTCACTTCTGGCTCTTCCCCAAAGTCAAAATGACCATGAAAGGAAAACACTTTTTGTTTTTTAAAGATTTTATTGGGGAATTCGGGGAGGGGAACAGCGTTGGGGAATCGGGGAAGGGGAACAGACAAGTTACTGTCCTTTTTGTTCTTCAGTCTAGTTATGGAGGATGTCGCTTCACTGGCCCATGTTGGTGTTATCATTGCGCTCTTCCCAGGTGATGCAGTCACTCGCTGGTCATTGGATGGCTGCTCACAGCAGCTCATGCTGGCTGCCAGCCATTCACAGTAGCTCACGGCAGCCCACTGCAGGCCAGTGCAGCCTACACCATTGCCAGCGGTAGCCCAGCCCCAGATTGAGTTGTTGTTCACCATCTTAGCTGTAGAGGGTGCAGCGTCACTGCGCCCTCATGTGGGATCCAAACTGGGGCCATGCTGCTCAGAGCTGGCATCCCAAGCCAACTCTTAGCCAACGTGCCTCTTGGCCGGCCCGAAAGGAAAACATTTTGAATCGATTCAGGACATCAAGGCAGCCACAACAGCACAAATAAAGACACTCACTAAAGAGGACTTCCAGAACTGCTTCAGAAAGTGGCAAGAATGATGGGATGAGTGTGTTCAAAGTGAGGGGGAGTAATTTGAGGGGGGTTAATGGCAATGTGTCTTTTTACTGTACTATTTTTTATTTAAACATTCACTGTATTTTGTGATCACACTTTGTAATATCCTAACTAAAGCCTAAATGACAACTTCCTATACCTCCTCAGTGAGTTTGATCCAATAAACATTTATTGAACATCAATTGTTTGCCAGACAATGCTAGGTGCAGGGGTCACAAACATGAAAACAAACTCACAATCTCATTTTTCAGAGTCTGGGTATTCTCCACAAATGCTACTCTGAAGTTATATATTTACATAAAGCTTATTCTAAACTGTCCAATAGACACTTCTAGTTACAAGTCCCCATTTAAACTTAAATTTGCACTAGTCACATCTCAAATGTTCAGTTCAAACTAGTCACATTTCAAATGCTCAACAGCTACATGTGGTTAGTCACTACCAATCATACTGGACACACATGCATCATTACATATAGCTGTAGAACAATACAGAAATAACATTTGCATCATCACAGAAAGTTCTGCTGTATAGACTGCTCAGATACCAAACATCTGGTCTCCATCACTTATTTATTCTATGACACTATGAAAATCATTTAGTTAGCCTGTGAGTCTGTTGGTTTTCCATAGACACAACCAAATGCCCTTCAGTAGAGGAAAGGCTAAATAAATTATGGCCTATCCATTCAATGGAATACTTTAGAACAATTAAAAAAACAAGTTAGAGCGATGTGTATTAGATCACAACATAATATTGATAGGAATAAAGCAGGTAGGATTAAGAAATACCCAATGTGATACCATTTGCATATAGTTCACATTTATATTGAATCTATCACATTTTCTACAGACCTATCTTAAATACACAAATATATAGAAAAATATATTGACCAAACAGATAAATATAGTTACCCCTAGGATGGTGGCCAAAGGGATTTTGCCCAAATACAAAACAAGCTTAGGGCAGGGTATTAATATTTCCTTTACTAAGATAAAGATGCTAATAATAGTATTTGCCACACTAGCCATACTTTCCAGGTACCCTAAAAGTACCTTGAGTATTGTAAAACATGATTTAGATATATAAGACTGTATCCAAAGATTCTAGGCTAGACAGAGAGCATTTTTATAGTTTATGTCATGATTCTTAAGTTTCTGTAGAAGTTTCAAAATGTACAGAGGCAAGCAAACATAGTTGTTACATTTCAAAAACAATCTGTGATTAGGAAAGATGAATCAATTCTCTGCTGTGTTGAAACTCATTCATTCACCAGCCAATGAGGGGAGATGAAAATAAGAGACCCAGTTCCTGTCTTCAAGCAACTACAGGCTAACGGGAAGGCACACGTTCAATAAGTTTTTACAACAAATTGGGATGCATGTCATGAACTAGACGTCGGAGGAGATACAAGAACATATAGGAGATTTGAAAGGAAAGTAGGAATTAAACAGACAAAATGTGTGGCGGGGAAGAGGGCAATGATTCAAGTAAAGGATACTGATAGGTGAAGTGAAGAGATGAAAGGGACTGGAAAGGACCTCAGGTGGGGTGGGGTGGAGTAGATGGAAGAGAAAAGTGAAACAGAGTCACATGATGCAAGGCTTTATAAACCATGGTGGAGACTTTGGATTTTCTTTTAAAGGTAGAAGTCACTGACGTGCGGTTTCAAGAGTGAGAGTGACATAATCAGTTCTGTTTTTATAGAAGCATCTTTCTTGCTACAGGGTGGAAAAGTAGGAGTAATAAGCTCAGCAAGACATAATGTTGTCCCCCAGACTATGGAGGTAACACTGGGTAGATATAAGTGGACTGAGTTCAGAGACAACAAGAAGACAGAAGGGTATGATCTGAATTCAACTGATGGAGAAAATAAATACAATAAGCTATCCCAGGGTACCCTATACCCCCAGGGTATATGAAGTTAGCAAATTTCTTTTAAATGCTTCTTTTAATATTAAAGATATTCATCTTTTTTACAGGTACACAATCCTTTACCTATAATCCCTAAATCCAAAAAGCTCTGAAAATGAAAAGGATTTCTGTACGATGACAGCAAAACCTGACTTGAATTAACATAAGGTTCTTCATCCTGCCTTATCCCATTCTACATGAATATTCACATATCTCACTGTAGAAATATTAATATTTGTGATTATGGGGTGCAACTGTTGAAGACATATGAGTAATTTTTGTTAGGTAATAGATGGGATATGCATTACGTTACCTTGACAAAATCTGACAACATCTGAATTCAGCAACACATTTGGCCCCCAAGGTTTCTGATAAGGAATTGTAGATAGGAAATTAAATTCTCCACTTTCACTTTCCAGCTTCAAAGGTGGCTGAGATCATGCCATATCACAACCCCATTGATGATCATACAGCCCATTAATGTGTGAATGTGTGTGTGTGTTTGTTGGGTAGCAAAGGTGGGCTGTGGGTAAGTCAGCTATTGTTTTTGATAGTGCAGTAAGATCTGGAGTTAAGAGAGAGAGAGAGAGAGAGAAAGAGAGAGAGAGAGAGTGTGTGTGTGTGTGTGTGTGTGTGTGTATACACGTGTGTGTGTGTGTGTTAACTTTCACCTTTAGACATGCATCAGGTAAGACTGGAAGTGTTCATTTTATTTTCAGGGAGGTTTTATGCCACCACAGAGAAACTGCTACAAGGCTTAACCTCATATACCTGTTCTCCTGGGGACTAATACTTGTTTCTAACAAGGTGTCTGCGGGAAGAAGCCAGGAACATCAAAAGGAATCAATCTCAGGCCTCCACGTACAACCATCAACATTCACTAGGTTTTTTTAACCACTGGCATAGAACTCTGCTAGAAGATTTGGAGACAACAAATGAATGATACATGATCCCCAACTATTCTCAGAGAAGTTGCTTCAAAGAAGATGTTTTATAAATGTTTGCTAAATAAACTATAAATTAAGAGAATATTTGTCTATAACATTAAACATGAAATGAGAAAACCAGGCTGAGTTTAGAGTTTGAGAGCAGGAAGAAGTGTCTAAGGAAGCAACTGCTTTGGTGGTGAGATCTAGAGAGACAGTTGGGCCAGAAGAAATCAAAGCACATCTTCCTGGTTGTCTGGTAATGGAACTCCCCATTGGTATCTCTCTCTCTTTTTTTTAAATTTTTTAATTAGTTTCAGGTATACAAAACAATGTAATAGACATTTACATACCTCATTAAGTGATAACCCCCTCCCCCAATCTACTACCCCTTCGACATTGTATATATCTAATACAATTCCATTGACTCTATTCCCTATGCTGTACTCCACATCCCATGACATATATATATATAATTATAGTTGACATTCAATATTATTCAACTTCAGCTTCAGGTGTACACTGCAGTGTCAGGCATCTCACAGTCTATGAAGTAGTGTCCCTAATGAGTCCAGTGCTCATCTGGCACCCTCTATAATCTTTACAACATTATTGATTATATTCCTCAAACTATCTTTCATATCCTGTGGCAATATTGTGATACTAATTTGTACTTTCTAATCCCTTTACCTTCTCCTTCTCTTAAGAGACATCATTAATAATTTACCTTACTCATCACGAAATTGGTGGAGTTGTATTTATGGTTATTTTCGGAATGACACTGACCTAGAAGCAAACTAGTTTTCTTGGCATCACAAAGACAGTAAAGTTGGAAGATCCTTGGTAGTTTCATATTAGAGAAACTGACCAGAAAGGTCTTACCTTCCACACAAGAAGGCTGAGCCCGAGTTGTGCCAGCAACCTGTCCCGGAAAGCAAGAACACTTGACTGTTTGTGATCGCTCTTCTATGCGGTTCTTATTACAGCACCTGTGCACAGCAACCACTTCACAGGTTCCCTGTTTGATTTGGTGGTGACCTGGTAGGGAATAGGGGAGAAAAACAGACCCAGTGCTGTGAGGAGAAAATGATGTCACCAAGAACATGAATGATGTCATGACTATATTTTCCTATTTCCTGTGCTATGCTTACGAATCTTTGTAACTTTTTATTTTGTTATAATTTCAAATTTATATAAAGGTGTCAAGAGGAGGGAGGTGGGGTCAAGATGGCAGAATAGACATATCCAAGGCTCCCCTCCTCCCCAAAACACACCCAAACTACAACTAAATATAAAGCAACTATCTCCAAGAACAACCTGACTTGTAGAACAGATTCTCTATAACTGAGAATATAAAGAAAAAGCCACATTGAGATGGGTTAAGGGGCAGCAGAGAGGCCTTCCACAATGTGAAGGAAATATCACAAACCCTGGAAGCCCCCGGAAACAGCGAGGCATCCGAGACCCATCTCGGGCTCCCCAGTCTAGGGGACCTGTGCCAGGAAGAGGACCCCCATAACATCAGGTTGCAAGAACTAGCAAACTGAGGGGCTATGGGAAAGCAAGAATCATCCCTTAAAGGGCCGGTGCACAAACTCACTAACTCTGAGTCAAAGCACAGAGACAGCAGTCTGAAAGGCACCTGAGTCATACATGAAAGAGATATATTGATGAATTTTAGGGAATCTGTGGGGGGATTAGTCAGGGCTCTCTCTGGGAATGGAGGCACTAGCTGAAATATTCTTCCCTTATTTGCTTTGTTTGCTCTACTTCTATCTAGCCAGCTAGCACTGGCAGGCACCAGGTCTGACACCTTTTATTAAGCTGCTAACCCTTCCACCCACCCAGCATTCCCCTGAGGACCTACAAAGCCCAGTCACCTTCCAAAGTGGCATCCCAGCAACCAGGGGTGCCCAGTGGGCCCCCCACCAGCACTGGGCTGATGGCCCTGACAGGCTTCCAAAGAAGCACCCCATGCCACAACACCTGGTGGGTGGCATGATAACACCCCCAATGTGGGGCTGAGGGGCCAGACCACATACACCAACATACCCATTATAGTAGAGACCAGGCCTTACAGCCAGCCAGGCCAGGGGCCAGCCTGACCCACCAGTGTGCCCACAGTAGTCCAGACCTGTCCTCACAGACAAATAGGCTGGGGGCCAGCCCCACCCAACCACATAACCTCAACAGTCATAGTTCAGCCACAACAGGAGCGTACACACAGCCCACACAAGACACCTTCTACATAAGACCACTCTTCCAATACTGTGAGATATAGCTGATCTACCAGAAACAGAGTCATAGACCAAATCAGGAGACAGGAGAATATTTTTCTAATTGAAAAACAAGACAAAAACCCCAGGAAAAGAACTAAATGAAATGGACATAAGCAGTCTACCAGATAAAGAGTTCAAAGTAATGGTCATAAGGGTGCTCACCAAACTCACAAGAAGTATGGAAGAACACAGTGAGAACTTCAACAAAGAGATAAAAAATATTTCTATAAATCAGAACTAAAGAATACAATAAATGAAATGAAAAATACACTAGAGAAAATCAATAGCAGGTTAGATGATGCATAAGAACAGATCAGCAACATGGAAGACAATATAGTGAAAATGAGCAAAGAAAAAAAATGTAAACAAAATTTTTTTGTTCAAAGGAATTTTAATACCAAAAATAGAAAGAAACATAATTTCAAGATGAAAGAAAGGAATTCAAATGGAATGAATTTAACTTTATGAAAGGACTCACTACATTGTTCTTGTTTTCCTCATTTCTGAGAAAACAATGGTGCATATTTCATCACGCACCAGCATGGACCAGCAGTGATCTCATTTCCAGGCCAACCAGACCTGATTAGGTTATTTTCCTTCTTGACGGGAAACTCTTCGCCCATGGGCTGTATGCCCCCCACACCAATATACTCTTCCACACATCCTGCCTGGAAAACTTCGACTCCTTCTTCAAAGTCAGCATGTAAAAATAAAGTGGTACCCAAACCAGAGGCAATCTTTCTCTTCACTTAGTTTACTTATTGGGGTACTTCCTGTTTGCTAGTAATACCCTACTGGAGTTGTTTGTACATAGGCCACAATTAGCAGCATCTCCTCAGCTTTGTAGAAAAGGGGCTTGCAAGTAAATAGTGGGCATCCAATAAAAGCATGCTGTATTAAGCGGTCAAATTGACTCTGCCTTTAGATATGCCATTCCCACTCTCAGGAACACCTATTTTATAAATTACCACAAACGAAGTGGTTTAAAACAACATGTATTCATAACCTTACAGTTCCGTAGGTAAAGAGTCTGACACATGTCTCACTGGGCAAGACTGTAGTCCTACTTGGGGGCTCTAAGGGAGATTCTGTTTCATTGTTTTGTTTTTTCCAGTTTGTAGAGACCACCTGAATTTCTTGGCTCATAGCCCATTTCCTCCATCTTTAAAGCCAGCAATGTTACATCTGTCTGACCACAGTCACATCTCTCTCTGACTCTGACCTGAGTCATAACAGATTCTCTGATTTTAAGGACACATGTGATTAGCTTGAGCCCACTTGGATAATCTAGGATAATCTCTTCATCTCACGGTCCTTAATTTAATCACACCTGCAAAGTTTTACCATGTAAGTAATGTACAGTAGTCCTCCCTTACACAGTTTTGCTTTCTGCTGTTTTACTTACTCACAGTCAACCAAGGTCTGAAAATATTAATAAAAAATTCCAGAAGTAAACAATTCTTAAGTTTTAAACTTCATACCATTCTGAATAGCATGATGAAATCTCACACCATCCAGCTCCATCCCACTTGGAACCTGAATTATCCCTTTGTCCAATGTTTCTACACTGTATATGCTCCTTGCCCATTAGTCACTTAGGAGCTGTCTCCGGTTATCAGATCCACTGTCATAGTAGCACAGTGCTTGTGTTCAAGGAACCCTTATTTTACTGAATATTGGCCCCAAAGTGCAAAAGTGGTGATGGTGCCAATTCAGATATGCCAAAGAGAAGCTGCAAGATGTTTCTTTTAAGTGAAAAGGTATGTAAGTATAGAAAAAAACATAGTATGTATAAAGTTTCATACTATCCATGATTTCAGACATCAACTGGGGGTCTTGGAACACGTCCCCCGTGGATAAGTGGGGGACTACTGTATTCACAGGTTCTGAGGATTAGGCTGTGGGCATCTTTGGGGCCCATCATTCTGCCTAGTATACTCATCCTTACTGTTTATCAATCCACAGTCCTCCCTCTTTATTCATGATTTGAAACTTGCTCAAGATCACAAAAATAACAAATGATAGAATCAGGATTTGAACCCAGGTCTATGTGGACATAAAGCTCCTTCCAATTCTTTTGTGATTAAAAAAAATAGCAATGGCAAAACATCTGCCATGTTCAGTGGATGGCTGCCATGTAGAGTGGATGATGAGGAAGTGAAAATGTCTAACTATTATGTTGCTTTGTACACCTGAAATAAATAAATAAATAAATAAATAAATAAATAAATAAATAAATATTTTTAAAAAAACGTTTTAGGCAGCTTTCAATTTTTTTAATATTTTTTTTGTAAGTTTCAGGTGTACAAAACAATGCAATAGTTATACTTTCCACCCCTCACAGTGAAAATGCCCCTCCCACAATCCACCGCCCCCCCCATATCATACATATCTATTACAATTCCATTGACTCCACTCCCCACACTATACTCCACATCCAGTGACTATATATATAATAAAATTATAGTTGACATACAATATTATTCAATATCAGCTTCAGGTATACAGTGCAGTGGTCAAGCCTCTACACCATCCATGAAGTGGTCTCCCTAACAAGACATGTGTCTGTCTGACACCCTAAAAAATATTTACAATGTTAGTAATTATATTCTCCCAACTGCCTTTCATATCCCCATGGCAATATTGTAGTTACCAATTTATGCTGTCTAATCCCTTCCACTTCTCCCTCACCCCCACCCCCTCCCATCTAGCAACCATCAGTTTTTCCTCTATATCTCTGAGACTATTTCTGTTTACTTTGCTCATTTATTCAATTATTTAGATTCCACATATAAGTTGAGACCCTATGGTATTTGTCTTTCTCCGACTGACTTATTTCACTTAACATAATGTTCTCTAGGTCCACCCATATCATCGCAAATGATAAGATTTCATTATTCTTTATAGCTGAGTAACACTCCATTGTATAAATGTACCACAGTTTCTTAATCCAGTCGTCTACCAATGGGCATTTCAGTTGTTTCCAAGTCTTGGCTATTGTAAATAGCACTGCAATAAACATAGGGTTGCATATATTTTTTCGAATTAGCGTCTTGGGTTTTTCTGGATAGATATGTAAGAGTGGAATTGCTAGGTCATACGGTAGTTCCATTTCCAGTTTTTTGAGATACCTCCATACTGATTTCCATAATGACTGAACCAATCTGCAGTCCTACCAACAGTACACCAGGGTTCCCTTTTCTCCACAGCCTCGCCAGCACTTGTTGTTTGTTGATTTATTGATGATAGCCATTCTGACCAGAGTGAGGTGGTATCTCATTGTGGTTTTTATTTGCATTTCTCTAATGATTAGTGAGGTTGAACATTTTTTCACATGCCTGTTGGCCATCTGTATGTCCTCTTTAGAGAAATGTCTTCATATCCTCTGCCCATTTTTTAATTGGGTTGTTTGTTTTTTTGGTGTTGAGTTGAATGAGTGTTTTATAAATTTTGGATACTAATCCCTTATCAGAGATATCATGGGCAAATATCTTCTTCCATTCAGTAGGCTGCCTTTTTGTTTTATTGATAGTTTCCTTTGCTGTGAAAAAACTTTTATGTTTGATGTAATCCCATATGTTTATTTTTTCTTTTATTTCCCTTGCCGAGGGGATATATCAGTAAAAATATTACTCAGGGTAATGTCTGTAAAATTTACTCCCTATATCTTCTTCTAGGACTTTTATGGTTTCAGGTCTTACATTTAAGTCTTTAATTCATTTTGAATTTGTTCTCATATGCGGCATAAGTAAGTAGTCC